TGTTTGTAACTTTGCGGTGGTTCTTTTAAAGGAAGTAGTTCTACCTTCCCATAACCACAACAGAGAGAAAAGATCTTATTCCCTGTTTTATTGCCTCTTGAAGATTCATTTTTCCATAATTTAGCATGGCATAGTTCACAAACAACATTTTGATCACCATGATCTAAATAACCTGTTAAATATAACATTTTTAAAAAATGTAAATATAAATAAAAATTATAATTAACAACTTAGAATATATAAAATGTTGTTTATGATTGTTACCTTTTGATATACCAACATGTGTTGGTTGGATAATATCTCCACCATTAATATCATCATCAGTCGTTAAGTGAAATATAGGTATAGGAGATATATGTGCAAACTTTCTTTTTGAGTTCTTGGAATTAGAAGATGTAGGATATCGTCGATTATTTAATAAGGGTTTTGGACCATTATGTTGACTGTTACAAATAGCTAAAAGAAAAATAAGTTGTTAATCATGTAGTTAATTTAATGTAAAATAATTGATAATGTATAATGTAGTTAATATGCATACCATTTGAGATATTGGAAAGTGGAGTCCTAGAATTCAGAGTTGAAGGAGATTGGAAGTTTGTAGAATGGCGTTGAGGAGTCTTGTCATAGCTAACATTTTCCTTTTGAGACGAAATATGTGTGAACTTTTTTGAAGAGTGTAAATGTTGACGACGATTGAAGACATCAACTACATATAATTACAAATTTGTTTAATAATAAAACTAATTAATAATAATGAAACTTAAACACAATTGGGTAATGTAAATAAACATATATATGGATAATAAAAATAATGAAAGTCCACAAAATAATTACCTTTCTGGCTGGTGTTAACAGATGGCGTTGCAGACGAAGTTTGACCGTTTGATAAGGTAGATTTATTTTTGAATTTTCTATTATCTAAATATAACTTTCTTAGTTTTCGTTGCTCTTTAGCTAAAGTGGAATAAATTTTTCTCTTGGAATCTATAACAGAAACAAAGTTTAATTAAAATTTTATTACGGTTACAAGTTAAAAAATAGAAACAAAGTTTAATTAAATTTTTATCTAATACCCTAAGTTAAAAAAAAAATCCAACATGTTAAATATTGATTTATATGTTGATAAACATATATAAAATAGGATGCATAAAATAAAAACATATTAAACAATAAAGACATATAACTTAAGTATCTAACTTATCTTTGTATTTATGATTATTGGGTTTTGATATACCTCCATCTGTGGATTGAATAATATTGGGAGCATTAATAGCATCATCTATTGTTAGGTCAAATATACGTATAGGAGATACATTTGCAGAATTTCTTTTTAAGTTGTGCACTCCCGGAGAAAACGGCTTGGATGAATAACTGTGAGTGATTGTTGATGAATTGGTTGAGTTGATGGCATTTGAAAATGTATAATATGGTATGTGATTTGATGAGAGTGTTCGACTTTTATGATGATTGGTAGAAGAAGCTGGAAAAAAAAAGATAACTTGTTATTCATGTAATTATTGCAATGTAACAGAAGATTTCATGTATATTAATAAGTACATATAATTTGAAATACATTTAATAACGAAAAAAAATACTAATATTAAAGTTAATTATATAGATATGAAATGTTTATATTATTTAACACATGCCATATTAATTCTACAAAAAAAATAAAAAGTTAACGTAGAAAATAATTACCGTTCTGGGTAATGTAAAAAGGTTGTGAGGTAGATGAAGTACGATCCGTTGATATGTTAAATAATCTTCTAATCCTACTATTATCCAAATATAATTTTCTTAACTTTCTTCGTTCTTTAGCAGAAATAGAGTCCATATTATAGTCTATCATCTATAAAAAGAAAATAAATATAATTAGAATTTGTATTTAAAATACAAATTGTATGCGAAATAATTAGTTATGTATATTGTTACAATTAATTGAAATGTTATAAAACAAATATAAAATATGATGAATAATTTAAAAGTAAATCCATTTATAAAGACATAAAGCTTAATCTTATGCTTATAAAAATTAGGTTAAAAAAATAATTATGAAGATATCCATGAATTGTATATTTTGTTTTTTTATCCTAAATTATTATTATTATTATTATTTATATATATAATAAACTAATATTTTTATAATTTTAGGTTATGTTACATATTCCACTTTTTATAAAATGAAAACATATTTAAAACATCTCAACTTTAACATGTATTAATTTGACATAAGTCAATCACAAGAATAATATATAACCAAATTTAATAAGTCATTATTTACAAAATTTATATTGTGTTTTATTATTCAATATATGAAAATTCAAGGGTTTTAAATGCAGTTTTAAATTATAGATGAAAAAAAATGGTCCGTCAACAGTAAGAATCTGAGTTTTGTGGGTCATATGGAGGGATTTTTCCACGACATTAAAATATATTAATATCTTTTTTTTTATTTACAAATATTATCCCAATATTTTTTTTATTGGGTATAATATTTGCCGGCAATAGATCAAAATATCAGTCAAAATTGCAAACGAAAAGTCTTTACATTATCCATCCCTAAATCAAAATATCTCGTCTAAACCCTAACTCTCGCATACCGTAACTCATCCACCTCCACCAAAATTCTTCAATCGATATATGCATCAGATCAACAGCTTTAATCATCGACATAATCCCCAATAAATCACGAAGAAAGCTACGAATAATCCATAAACTCCATTCAACAGACGTGCATGTTGATATCCATCAGTGGATTCATCTTAATAGGGTGACGGTGATGATTTGGGGGAGAAATTTCGAAATGAATTACAATTTGCAGACAGACGAAGGATATTAGTTTAAGTTCCGATGGTCATCAAGAAGGATGAAGAAGTTAGGGTTTATCTGTTGAAGACCTAGTTGCTGCTCTTACCATTATGGGAGTGTATCAGTTCGAGGTAGGACACCGTTCAAAGTTACATATTCAGTCATTCTATTAAATGTATAGTTTCAGATAGAAAGTTATATGTGTATTCATTTCTATAGTTATAAACAACAACAAAAAATGAGTAATTGTGCAATTTTCATTAATATGACAGAAAAATTAAACAAAAACTTACATGATTAAATTGCAGGGTGTTATACTCTTGTAGATGATACCCAAATCAGGAACTTAGCAATGAAATAAAGACGCTCCTCACAGGATGGATTTTTCGTAAACTTGAAGGCAAATAATGGATGGAAAAGTCAGACGTGATTAACCTTAAAGGAAAAAAGATAAGTAACTGATTTCTATATATGGTTAGCTAAATTGAAGCCTGAAAATGAGATTTGATTGAAACAAATTGATTTGAAACAGCTTCAAATAAAATAAAAAATCTAATAAGATAATTTTAAAAAAAAAGGTATTAAAATCGATTTATGTGTTAATATGTAGGGTATTTAAAATTTTTAAAAAAAAATGATGATTTCCTTTCTGTCAATTCAATCACGACTTTATCTTGTAACTGATTTCCTATAGCTTTTGTTAACGAAATCACTGAATTGTTTTTATACCATAATTGATCAATGTTTCCTCTTTTATCAGTGGGAAGAAGAAACAGGCGAGAAAATGTATCTTGACAAATTCATGTTCACTTTAATTTTAATCTTAATGAGATATAATTTTAACATTAATCATATAATATTTGTTCTTAGTGTATTTGTATTCTCATTTAAAATAATAAATGTATGAGTTTTATGTTTATGAAAAAATGTCAAAGTTATTAATTTTCAGTAAAAAATTATTAATGACATGGATTATGTTGAGATAGAAACGATATACGATTGTATGGTGGGTAATGTTTATCAGTTTTGTCAACAACATAACATAATTCTGCATGGTTTAAGTTTTTGTGTTTTCAGAAATATCTCATGTATTTATAGGATAATTTGTTAATATGTTGTATTGTAGAATAAAAATAAATGCAGAAGAACACATGCTACTGGAATGATTGGCTACTTTACTTATTGAAAATTTATACAACACAAAATCATTTGTATTAATTACGGTGTAAGTTCATGTGTTAATATTTGTTTGTCCAAAATATAAAGATATATAGCCTTGTAATATATTTGATTTCGTATTTCTTATTAACATGAATATTTTAATTTTAATTGATTTTATATTTAGAATGTAATTGTAATCTAAGAAGTTTTAATCTTGAATTGATATTTATTGTTACAGTCATTCTGCTTCTTGTTTGGAGAACTTCGGGAATGTTAAAGCAAACATTTTAGTGGACATTCATTTGCAAGGAGTAGTGGAGATGGTGTATACTCAACTACGTAATTAAATCCATCATTCAGATGGAAAATCCTTTCAAAACCATTATAGCTGGAGTACAGAAAAAGTAGAGGGATTGATTATAGATAACCAAATACACGTAAAAATACTTCAATTTTTATACTTTTTTGTTTGAAAGCATTCATTTGTATAAGTGATGAGTTAGTATGATATAATGGAATTACAAACACGAATGGAATGGTTTGGATTGAAATTAATTTGGTATATAAAGGAATGTAATGATCCATTACTTTGTCCATTCCATTCATTTATGATTCCATTCCATCAGAAATGAAAATTAGTTTAAGAAACAAACAATTTAAAACAAAAACCATCAAATTCATCCACATAACATAAATCCAAAGTATGGTATTATAAAGAGGAATGGAATGGATTGGTTTGAAATTAATTTGGTATGTAAAGGAATGTAATGATCCATTCCCTTGTCCATTCCATTCATTATGATTCCATTCCATCATAAATGAAAATTAGTTTAAGAAACAAACAATATAAAACAAAAACCATCAAATTCATCCACATAAGATAAATCCATCCGAAAAGTTGTTTAGAAACAAACAATTTAAACAAAAAACAACCAAATTCATGGAATTTTAAAGGAAAATCAGAAAATGTCTTAATACCCGCAACAACAAACTTAAAAAAAACCAATTATTCTTCTCACAATCAAAATCAATCACTTTTCCAACTTCACCTTCAAAAATTTCACCTGTCCATCTTCCACTCCAACTTTTGTAGCCTTTGATGACGACATCTTGTCATTCATATCCAAAACAAATACGTCCTCAAGAGCTCGCTTCAAACCCGTTGATGTGTCAAAATTCTTTTTTGGACTTGTGGCTATCGATTTGAAAACATTGGTCGGTGTAACATTATCATCAGTCTGAGATATGACATCCTAATTTAAGAAATAAATATTATTATTAAAAGGGTAAGAAGGTGTAAGATAAAAAATTAGAAGTTTAGATAAATTGTACAACACCTTTATACTCTTGTTATCTTGAGATTCATAATCAGTGGTACCAACATCAAACGATTGTGAATTACATCCCTGTATAAAACATATAAGAAGACCACCACAATTTTTATTAAGTATTGTATATAATCAGAATAAATTGAAGTATAATCACCTCAAAAACGACAAAGTTTTTTTCCAACTATTGTATCAACTTGTCATCATCACTACTCTTCAAAATACTATATTGATTGTTGTTCCTTTCAAGATTGTATTTTGAAATAGAAACTATGAAAGCTAATTTCATATCTTTCAAGACATTAATTTCAGAGGGGTATAAGGCAGTACCAAAACCAAGCTGCAAATAAAACATAAACAGAGGAAATTATATATAAATACAATAAAAAATAGGAATATATGTAAAAAAATTAACCCGAGCTGTCCTTGCAATTAAATCTTTCGCAGAAATTTTAAGAGCTTCTTCGCGTCTTGTTCAAACATTGTTCGAGTCATACTTCCAGTATGATCTTGAACACGCACCGGAATCATGAACCTATGGGAATTGTAAAATCATCAAAATTAGTCAACATAAGATGTAAAATTATATTTTACTGAAAATGAGTATATCAAACAACAATAACCTTGGAATAACTGATGTTACAGTTTTTGTGCATTTTGGATTTCGACATTCATATTTTGCGTGTTGAAATGATCCGATGACATTGGCTTCATTAGAAGGTGTGTCTGAAAATGCCCTGGTATTGCAGTTTGTACATGCTGGGTAATACCAATCTTTATTTTGAAGAATTCCTTTAATTGTCGCTACAATAACATATTTTTTTCTTGGGTGAATAAAACGATAGAAATGGAATGTAAGTTGTATTGAAAAATAAATAACGAAATGCAATAATTCCATCAATATCTTTCAGATTTTGTGTTACCTCAACTGGCTCGAAAATGTCAGCAATTGTTTTCAAATCATTATTAAGCAGGAAATCATCATTTTCAGAACTTCGATTAGATTTCATATAGGTGAACGTACTCTTTGAGTTTTCATGGGGACCGTCTTGATCCAAACTGTTAATTAACATCATATTTAGAAATTATAAGATATAATGTCATTTATTATTAAAAATAAACATAGTAAAACGTTTTATTCCTTTTTTTGAAAACATTTATGTCATCAATGTCACTATTGATGATGAACTTCGATACATCATAGTACGTATTGACGGATCGGCGATCTATAAAAAAAGTATATAAACCGAATGAGTAATAAATAATTAAGACTAATTAGAATATAAAATATAAAAAAAACTTTATACCTTGCCAAACACTAATCTTTGCAAATTGAAGGATTATGACGATGCGGACATTGTTTGGATTCTTTTGGATATAATGTAAGAATGTGTAACCATAATCGCCCCATAGGTTAACATCCAATTGCAAACCACTAACAAAAAAGACGGAAATTACATTTAAAAAATGTTATTCCAATTTAAGAGTTAATACACAAAATAGTTGTAGGTTATAAAAAAACATACTTGGCATCTTGGATTTGTATTCTGATCCTATGCCTTTTTCGATCTGCATTTCGAGCATCCATTTCACCAACTACTACTACCAATCCGATAACATCTGTATATAAACATAAATATCAATAAACATATAAAATTAGTATTTATTTGAAGGTTAGAATATAATATTTTTATTTAGAATATGTAAATAGACAGGTAAATTAGAATATTTATTGCAGTAAAAAGTAATGATATGGTTTTGGAGAAGCCATACCAGGGCATTTTCAGACATGTGAAAAAAAGGTGACACGTGACACATTCTTACTGGTGATTAATTGGTATGCAATATTGAAATAAAGTTAAATATGTCAGTTTTTAATATTGAATTAGTCTTGGTCTGTCATTATAAAAACGATATGTAATTGTTAGTTGTTAATTGTTAATGTCTTATATATGCATGTTTGAAAGATAATATAAAAATTATTAAATAGAAAATACTAACCCAATGACATATTATCTGGAACAGTGCCATCGATAATCGCCCGATATTCAACAAAATCAAAGCCATTTACTGATCCCGAAAAATTGTCACACGGAGTAACAATACTGTCCAGATTCAAAGCAAGCTTTTGTAGTTGATTGGTAAGTTGAAAGCTTCTTTCCTGCGTCTTTGCTAAATTTGGAGATTTGATGATAAAAGATTCACCTTCTTTTAGAAGTTTTTTGAACTTGTAAATGTAAGCTTTAGGGACATAACCTTGGATTTTGTTACCCTAAATGAAGAAAAAGTGTAAAGAAAAAGTGTGGTGCAAATACGATTAATAAAAAAAATAAAGATTACTATAAACAGTAAATATATAAATAACAAAAAAAAAATATATGAAATATACCTCTTCATCCATTAGAATAAGTTCAATAGAGAAAAGTTCATTTTTGTTGTAGTAATTGTCAAGTGTCCATAGTCTGATAACACGAAGCTTCATTGTGAAGTTGTCCTTCAAGACATCGAGATCCCGTATAAGAGTAAAATCAATAGTAGCCAGGTAGATGCAGAGATGTGGAAGAGAATTAGCCCCTGAAAATGTTTTGAAGACAACAATAAAGAAGACAATGACCATCAATCGATATTTTGCTGGTATTTATAGGTATAAATATAAAGTAATCATGAATTATTTGCTGATTTTCAGGGATATGAGTTATTTATATTTATATTCTTTATATATCTATGTATAAGTATAAACCGAATGTTTTTGAATGCAGGTGAGATTCTGGAGTATTAAAACTGATTTGCTGATTTCTTGGAATTGATTAGATAATTTCAAGACTTACAACAAAGAATGTGCGGGAAAATAAGGTAAATCGTATATGTGGTAGTGAATATTGGAATTAAAGGGGTTTAAAAGAGGGAAATTAGAATATCAATAACTGATTTTTAGGGATATGATATATATGTATCTATATCTGTATTATGTATAGTTGTATGCATGTAAATTTGTAAAATTAAAAATGATTTACTAAAATTTAGGAGCTGATTTTTTGGAGTAAGTGATATTATACTCGGTTATAGGATATAGGTTATATCGTATTTTGAATTTTGAATATTGAATGAATGTAAATGTATATTTTGAATTTAGAAATTAGAAATTTTGAATTTGAATTTTGAATTGAATGAATGTAAACGAATTGTTGAAGTTTATTATGGTGACATGTGGCATGTATACACTTTGACACATGGCAGTTTTATGTGCAATCTATTTATTTATTAGAAAGGGAGATATATATATATATATATATATATATATATATATATATATATATATATATATATATATATATATGCTTATTTTATTCTATTCAAAGTGATTATTATGTTATTGTATATATAAATGTGATCCAATCAATTTTATTTATTTTAAGAAAATGATTAATATATATTATTAAATTAAATATAATTGAAAAATATCATCTAATTTAATTACAAGAGTATTTTAGTCAATTAATATAAATTTAATAAAAGAATATTGCGTATTTTAAGGGATCATAGATTCTATTAATTTTAAAAATCCGATTTTACGAATTATAATTATTTTAATTCGAACATTCTGACAGAATATATATATATATATATATATATATATATATATATATATATATATATATATATATATATATATATATATTATTTACTAAAAAATAAAAATATTCTTGAACCATAAATAATAAAAATATTCTTGAACCTATTTCTTGATCATGATTTTAAGAACTTGTAGAATAACAAATTCTTAAACAATCAATTGAAGAATAAAAATAATAAATAAATTATTTCTTATAGAATACGAGTAACAATTGTTAAGAATTACATTTATTGTTAAAGAATAAAACTAAAAAAACTTTTAAAACGGGAAAGAAAACATCAAAATCTAACATCGACACTAATACATTCTAAAATAATAATGTTGTTTAGAATCACTTTCAATTTTGTGGTCACTTTAAACATCAATTTATGTGAAAACAAACCAAATTGTAGTTTATATTCCAATAATACATTAGCAAATAAAAAATAAAAAACTAAATTCCTTTGGAAAAATATGTAGACTTGTAAATTGCACCAAAATCAATAACTAAGAATTGTAGAACATGTATAAATCAGTGAGAAAATATCAATACTCCATTCAAACATAATTAGAATTCATGATTTCATTCCAACAAAATTGGAATTCGTGATTCCATTCCAATAGAATATAAAAATTAGTATGAACATGTAGAAAACCATCTCTTAGAAACAGATTAAAGTATACATCAATTTTAATGAAATGAACTAAAATAAATTTGTAAAAATTTTGTTCTGCTTAATTGAGTTAGGGGTTGTTTGAAACCCGTCTGACTCGTCTGAGTCAGCGATTCTGGCTTACTCGGTCAGCCGGGTGTTGTTTGAAATGAGTCTGTTTCGGTCAGCAGGTATGAGTCAATCAGCTGAATAGGTCAGCCAGGGAGATGCGCCTGACTGGAAAAAAGACCTCCCTACCCTTGTCGTTCCCTTCGTGACCTAAAAAAAAGCGGCAACCATTCTTCTCCCTTCCCTTCGACAGGTTTCAATCAGAGCGCTTCTCCCTTCCCTTCGACAAGTTCAATCAGAGCGCAAGATCACCAGCTTCTTCCTTCAATCGTCATCTTCTTCCTCCAGCCGGAAATCTACACTCCTTCCGTCTTCTTCCTCCAGCCGCTAGAATCTTCAACACAGGTATGCTCTAAAATCCGAAAATCTCTTACATACTTTATGAAATCCGAAAATGCTAGGTTATAGCATCTTCTCCTACTTGTATAATCTCTAAAATCAATTGTGCATAGTGTATGAAATCAGAAAAAAAAAAATTATGTATAATCTGTATAGAGTATGAAATCAGAAAAAAAAATTGTGTATAACATTAATTGTGTATAATGTATGTATAGATTATGAAACCATAATTTTTTTCATTGTATAATCTATGAAATTACTTGTATCAAACTGCAGTTAGGCTTTGCTTTCTTGTTTGTCACCGTTGTTCACAAAATTGCAGCTTTAATAGAAACAACTACGGAGTATCATGTGTATTGTGTTGATGATGCATCAAATGAGTCATTCATAACATTATATACGTAATAAATGATGAGTAGATTGCTATTATTGTTTTGAATTGTAGCCCTTTTGTGAAATCAGAAATCAAAAATTGGTTTTTAAATAAAAAATTGTTCTTGGTCTAATGTTATGAAATCTTAAATTGGTTATGACATCAAAAATTCATGTTGCTATAATGTTATGAAATCTGAAACTTGGTTGTGTATAAGCTATGTAATCAAAAATCATATATTTTTTATTGTTTATAAGCTATGAAATATAAAAGTTATGATGGCAATATTGGTTTGGAACAAAATTTGAAATCTTTTTTGTGTATAAGCTATGTTGACAATGTTGTGAATTATTATTATTATTATTATTATTATTATTATTATTATTATTATTTTTGTTTATAAGCTATGAAAGCTGGAATTTGTTTTTTGTTTATCTTAATAAAACATATGATAAATTACTTTAAATATTAATGTTTTAGGATGTTGGTTTGGAACGAAAGTGAGGACAAAACTTTTCTTGATGCATGTATCCATGAACTAACCACTAATGGTCGTGAGAGTTCTGGGCTTAAGACTAGTTCATGGAAGATAGTATGGGAAAAATTGATGATCGAACATGGTAAAGAGGTTGATCAGAACCAAATGAGAAACCACTTTGACTACTACAAATCAAAATATGTTGCTTGGGTGAAACTGAAAAACAAAACCGGCAATATATATGACCCTATAAAAAATAAATTTAACCTGACTGATGAACAACGGAAGGAAGAAGGGAAGGTAATATTTCTATAACGAATACTATTATAATTATTTTTATAAAAAATACTAATATTTATGAAAACTGTAAATAGTTGAACAAGTTCATGTTGTCATTGAAAACTAAACCCGTGCTGTTTCCTAATCTTTGCACCCAACTATTTGAAGGGTCGACCTCAACTGGCTTTCAAAGTTGGGGGCCATCTTCTACACTCCCTCATCCTGTAGAAGAGTTTAGTGCCCAAGATTTTGATGATGATGTTACAATGGAAACCTCAACACAACACGTAGGTGCAAGTGAAGAATCTTCGGGGCGTTCAAAAAATACAGAAGTTGGTGGAAACAAAAGAGTTGGTGGAAAAAAGAGAGATGCAAGGGCATTAGAAGTTGAATAGGAGATTGTTAAGCTTGCAAGGTCGTTAGTGGAAAAAAATGAAAGAGTTGAAAAAAGTGAAGTAGATAAGGATGTTGATGTGTGTATGGAGAAATTAATCAAAATGGAATGGGGAGAAGAAGATGAAAGACACAAGACCACTCTTTTGCTATTTGGTGAAAGTGCCGATGTTAGAAAAGTTTGGTTACGACTTTCGCATACTAGTTGTGAGTCGTGGGTAATGAGTGCGGGTAGGAAGTATGGTTACCTTTGATGATGTTTACTAGTTTTTTGTTGCGTGACTTTTTGTTATTCGCATGACTTTTGGATCCTATGTTTGATGAATTTTTTAGATGTTACTTTGGATGATGTGTATTAGTTTTTTGTTGTTATGTGACTTTTGTTACTTTGGATGATATTTGGATATTGAATATGACTTTTGTTATTTACTAGTTTTTGTTGTATGACGTTTGTTATATGACTTTTGTTATCGTAACAGGTCAAGTATGGTTTCCGATGGTGAAGTTGTAGCTTTTCTTTTACTTGTGTTTTATTGGCTGACGTCAAACTGACACAGGCTAATCAGAATTCATAGAATTAGAGATCACGATTGCGTATACGCAAGATTTGATGTACGGAGACCCTACACAATGTTTCGATATGATGCATCTTACACAAGAGGCATTTGCTTTATTACGCAACCACTTTACCCAAAAAAATTGGTTACAAGCTAGTAGGACAATTAGCATTGAAGAGAAGATGGCTATATTCTTACATGTTATAGGACATAATGAATGTTTTCGCGTGGTTAAGGGAAGATTTCATCACTCCACACAAACGATTCATCAATGTTTTCACGAGGTCCTAACAGCAATGATGTGTTTTGCAAAAGAAATTATAGTACCAACAACTCCTAATCCAACAAGACATAACTCAGAACGACATAGACTGTTAAAAAACATTTTTTCCGGAGCAATAGGTGCATTAGATGGAACTCTTGTCCATGCGGTTGTACCCGTTGATCAACAAACTCGTTATAGAGGAAGAGGAAAAGGAGAATGTTTTCAAAATGTAATAGGAATTTGTGATTTTGATATGATATTCACCTTTGTTTGGGCTGGATGGGAGGGTATAGCACATGATTCAAGAGTTTTGAAAGAAGTTGCATTCAATTCGACTTCTGGATTTCCATTTCCTCCACCAGGTTTGTAATCTTTATATAATTTTTATTATCTATCTTCTTTATACAATATGTGTCATTATATAATATGTCACATTCATTTGCAGATAAATATTACCTTTGTGATGCCGCATGTGACATCCCCATTTTCACGGCCAGAAAAGACCGATTTTGTTTATGCTTTATAAAAATCAGAGTTC